TTAACTTAGTTGAATGTAGTATCAGATTTAACTGATTTGGGTCAAGCTGGTTTATGAAACTTCTGTCCTAGATTCCTTCCGGATTCAAGTTAAATCATAGTCCCCCAGCATCGCAGCATGCTTTGCAGCCCTAGGCTGGGCTGTCGGCTCCAGCAGAGAAGGGCTGGCCCTACCCCTCTATTCCCTAGCCGGAGCAGTGAGGGATGGCTGACAAAGGAGTGGCAGGGGCAAGCCTGGCTGAGGATGCAGCCCAGTCTGCAGGGCGGGGGGAACTGCCCCCCAGGCAAACCCTGCCTGGGGCCAGGGAGGGGGGTTAAAGACACTTTCCCCCGCACAAACTTACTGCTGGCTGCAACTGTAGACTACAAATCCCAGAGGCACCTGGAAACAGGAAGAGGAAGTGATAAGCAACCCAGCAGAGTTCTGTCGCGGTGAGTCTGGACTGCAAATCTCAGAGACCTCGGGGCAGTAAACTGAGGAAGCAAATATGCTGGCTACATGCCAGAGCTGTGCTTTAGTGCCCCCTGGTGTCTGGCCTGAGCCACTGCAGGGATGTGGCTGCATTTCCTGAATCAAAGGTAAAAGTCTGTTCTGTTTCAATTTAATCTCTGTAGCTTAGACTAACCTGCAAAAACTAAATCAATTTAGCCTTGGGCTTTTTGCCTGTCTTTACTTAGCCTTAAGGTTTGGTGACATCCCAGCAGTCTCCAGTCCTGGCCTTCCTCTTCACCCCACAAGGCCTGATGAGACTACCACCCGCCCCCTCTCTTTGGAGTTCACACCGCCTTGCTCTTCCTAGGACTCAACACCACTTTCCTCTGCAGCACCAAAGAGCAATGAGGTTGATTGCTTCTGCCTTTGCCCTTGAGGAAGTTTCTCAGCTGCACACAAAGGCCCAGGAGCCAAGAGCTCTGGCGTTCTTGTCCTCGTTCCAACACAGATTCACACCACAGCCCTGGACAAGCCGCTGTAATGGCCTGCCTCAGTTTCTCTGGCTCTCCAATGAGCAGGACCCTGCCACCCAGCCTGCACACGCATGTCAGGTGCTCTCCTAGAGCTGGGATGTGGGTCTCCCTCACCCTGCTTACTTGATGTCAAGCCCTGTTTACACTGGTGACCAAGAATGGCAAATCATGTGATACAATCAGCATCAACTGGAGAGAGGCAGTTTCCAGCTAGTCCCTTCTGTTCCTATGTCACCGATAGTAAAACTCCAGGCACTGCTCTTGGGCAATAAATGCTACTGAAACGACATATGCCACTGTGCCAGGTCCCTCTCTGCCATGTCGGGGAGCAAGCCTTGCTCCAGAGACTGCAGAGGAAGCTGCCAGATTCCTTTCAGATTGGTCTGTGTGAGGCTGGCAGCTGACATTTTGGAAGGAAATAACCTCTTCTCCCTGAAGCACGGCAGCACCAAGGCACCCTGCTGGAAGCCTGGCTCTCACCATGGAGCATACAGTGATAGGCAACAGACAGCACACCCCTTCACACCGCCCCTTGTTGCCTGGGGTTGGGGCACCCAGCTGACTGGAAGTGCACTGTTGGCTGTTAAAGCAGTGCATGGTGCCCAGGGTGGGAAGAGCAAGGAAAACAGCTGTTCCTGCCATGTAAGTATTTCCTGCACTGGGAGGAAGGAACTAGCAGCTTGCAACCCCACAGTGAGCGAGCAATTTGGTGTGGAGGGGGTCTCTCCTCCCTAGCAGAAAGATCCTCAGGGCCCAGCAACTTACATGCTCCCTTAGTGAAAGTTTCCTAGGCATGGGAGAGCAACTGGCCTGATATGCCAATTGAAATGCTTCCTCACCCCAGACTTAGGATGTGGAGCGCAGGCCTCCCATGTTTGTCTGATAGTCCCTGCCCAGTCTGCTGAAGGTGAGGGCACCTGTGCACATGTTTAGGTTGATACTGTGACCTAGTAGACTCTGCAGTGCCTGCCCAACAGAAAAAGTAGCTCCCAGGGTCCTTAACGTTACCTTTGCCACCAGGTCCTTGGCTCTGACCTGAGTCCAGGCAAAAAGGGAGGTGGGGGGTGCACAGCAAGACATCCAGCTCTATGCAGGCAGTTGCACTAGGCATTTTTCCCCTGCTGCAGCTCAGGTTAAGTGGATTTCCAGTTCATCCCAATCCCTAACTTTACCATGTTGGCAACTAACAGGAATTAATTGGTAGACTAATTAACTGGAGTTACATAATGCACCAGAGCCTCCAAGCCAGCTGAGCCTGGGAGAGCAGGTTCTGGTTGGGAAGCAACCAAGAGCATGTAGACTTACGGACAGGATGAGAAACCACCTGCCAGTGCCTTCATTGTGGGAAGGTGACAGCATTTTCTTGCCAGACAGCAGCTCTAGCAGGCCCGGGAATTTTCTGCGACAGTGGCAGAAACCCCTCAGCCAGCAGGTTTCGGTCTTGTTTCACAGCCTCAGAACAGCTCCAGCTAGGGGAAGGCAGCAGGTAAGTCTGTAAGGCTGAGGAAACACAGCCCCTGCTAAAGAAGCTGCGGAGGGACAGGGAGTTGCACCAGCAGACACCTGGTGCAAGGCAGCAGTGCACAGCAAAGCCACCACGTGCCTGGGACAGCTCTCCAACAGCAGCCACAGGCAGAATCTTCCACAAGGACCTGCAAAAGAAGCACAGGGACCTGAACTGGCAGGCAGCCTATTGGGCACTCCCTGTGTGGGCATGGATAAACAGCTCAGGGCAAAGAGGTCCATCATACTGCTGGAGGCAGACCTGCTACTGGCAGGCAGAAACAATTGGCCAACTCTTCTGGCACTGCTGATAGGCACAAGAGATGTGGAGGAAAATCAGTGCACTCCTCCTGGTGGTGACAGGTTTCAGAGACCTGACCAGGAAAGTAAGGGACCCTGACAGCTCACTTTGACCAGTTCATATCCTGCTTCAGGTATGCACTGTGGAAAGCCAGGAACCTATTCATAAACAGACTCAGATTCCACAGTTAAGGACTGTCTAAAATGGGACTAAGTGAAAAGTACTGGTACTACAGGAAGATCGAAGAGATCAATGGGAAAGAAATGGCAGACCTCATTTAGTGGAGAGGGGCCTGGCATAGACTTTTTCAGGGGCAAGTCCTCTGAGGAGGACAGTGGGTGGGGGTACGGGTGTGTGGATACATGGTGCAAACTGTGTAACGGGTTTCTAGGGTGCTTTGATCTTCCAAGTGAACCACAAAGGCCACTTGGCAGAGTGTAAAGATATATATATAATAAATATTTTTGCAAAAAAAGAACTGCTGCTTTCCTTGCTGTGGATGGACATCACTGGTCCCAAGCCCCCACAGGAAGCACAGTCACAATTACCAGTCTCCCTCAAGTAGCAAGGTAATTCAGGGCTGCAGCTCCCATTCTGGGACAAGAGCTCACCACCCCTGCCTCTTTCCAGAGCAAGTGAGACAGCCCAAACTCACTTCTGCTTCCTCCGCCCTGTGGCAGCAGGACTGACCACAGCCGTTCCATAACCCCACCCCTGCCATTGCCTCCTCTTATGCTGGAAACACCAACCAGGGCACAGTGCCCCCAATTCATAGATTGGTTTCTCTTGGGTAAAAACCTGTTATTCATAACCTTTGGCTCTTGTTCTTTATATACCTTGGCATGTCTTCCCAGTATGCGAACAGCGGCCTAAAATTCCTACCATCCTGCTATGGGAGAACAACATTTCCCAAGCTCGCTTGTTCTGTGCTGACCTAGGCCGTGCTCCAGTTCTGGTCTCCCTTCTCTCCTGTCTTAGTTGAAGTACCTAGTGCAGCAGTTCTAAACCTTTTGAGATTCAAGGCACCCCTCGAAATGCCAGTTCTCAGTTTTTGTCTATTGAATGATAACAGAGCCATTCTTCCATTGCAAAGAACTGAGAAAGACCACAATGGGCAGAATGGTTTTAACACTATGGATTCCTATTTGAAACCCCCAGGTTTATCTTGCAAATCATATTTGCACACCTGTGAATCGGATTTACACATCTAACTGCTAATACTGTCATCCTGTGCACCCCTGAAAGGATCTCAAGGCACCCGTGTGCCATGGCACCCTGGTGGAGAATCACTGATCTACTGCTTAGACGGGAGCTCTTCCAGGTGTTTCGTTTCAATGGGGGCTATGCAAGAAGCTCTAAATACCCTCTGTACCATATTCACCCCCACCTCTTGGCTTAGGCAATGGGTTCAGTTATGCTTCTCCTTAGCTCCACATATGGGAGCTGCCTCCCTGCCCTCAGCCAGGTTTCTCCCCAGCACAGGCACAAGCATTTGCCAGGCCCTGCTCATGGACCAGCATTACCTCAGATGCCCTTACATGGTTCCTCGCTCCTGCTTGCAAGCCTCTGGCTTACAGGAAGAGGAGTGTAAATGAACCAGCAAAAAAGAGCTCTGCCCCCCTAACAGCCAGTGTTTTTATCCAGGCACAGGGGGAAGGGAGCTGGCTCTGGATGAAATTCTTTTGTTTTAAGAGCTCACATGTAGCTGGGGATTTGGGAGAGGGAGGCAGTAGGAGACAGCTGAAGGGAGCCTGATATCAGGCTCTCCTTAGCCTGTACCCGCCCGCCCCCCACCCCTTAGCACATCTCAGCCCAGAGAGTCACTATGGGCGCTGAGGCCAGAGGGCATTAGAAATTGATACTGGCTGTGCTGCTGGCTTTCACTTCCTCTGTCATACCCACAGCACCCTCTCTCCTTCAACTGCGGGGAAGCTCAGTGGCTTTTCTTCTTATTTGGGGAGACCGAAAGGGCCAGCCCCATGTGAGCATGCTGGTGGGGGCGGGCAGCTTGCACTATGACTGCGCTTCCTGCCTCACACTGGTTTCCGTTTGGCAGCAGCTTTGTCGTCCAAGACTCGCTCTGAGAAGCCTCCTGTTCCCTGTGTCCCAGCTCTGCTTTCGGCTTCCTCTTTGCCCTGAGCCACCTTGCAGCCCATTGCAGAGGGAGCAGTGCTGAGAGACATTTTGATGAGAAAGGAAGCCAGGGGAGGGAGACAAAGTGTGGTCTCTGATGGTGCTCAGCTCAGGAAGGAGCGCAAGGCTCATAAACAATGGAGCGCAGCAACCCCTGGGCAAGCACCTTCCTGGCTGACCCCTTGCACGTCTCCTGGCAGGTTCGGAGCCATGGCTGTGTGGATCCAGACCCAGCAGCTGCAGGGGGAGGCCCTGTAGCAGATGCAGACACTGTACGGTCAGCCCTTCCCGTAGAGCTGTGGCATTTCCTGTTGCAGTGGATCAAGAGACAAGTATGGTAGGAGAGATGGGGTCGCTGGAGGCCGATCTGACTCATGTCTCCTTGCTTCTTGCAGATGTTTTGCTCACTGTCCTCTTTTCTCTTACCCACAGCACAAGGGCTCTAGGAGGCTGCTTTTGTCCCCTGTTTCTGTCCTAAGCTGGGTGCTTGGGGTATCAGAGGTCTCCCTGTCCCCTCCCTCAATCCCAGCCCTCTGGAGCTCAGTTATATAAAAGAAGGAAAGGAGGAAGTTGATGTGGGTAGCAATGGAAATACATGGCAGGGTTGAGTGGTCTGAGCACAGGGCTTGGATCTGGGACATGCCACCTGGCTTGACTACTGGTTTGCTGTGCCCCAGCGTTCCTTGGTGCCCTGTAGGGTTGAGGGTAGGAGGCGATGCAGTGCTCAGGCATGTTTTGCAAAGTGTCCTTCCTATGCAGCACACTGGGTTTCAGCTTTGCCACCTCCACAGCAATCCAGGTAGATGCCTGACAATGGGAACTGGGATGGTGCTAGATGCAGCTGCCATTAAACAGGGAATTGGTGGGAGAGAAAAATGCTCATCTGTCTTACTGGCATTTTTTATGAGATTTTTTTTCTATTAATTAAAACAGGAAAATCTGCCTGGACGGAATTACACCTTCTGGCAGTGGTTTGATGGGGTTATGGAGGTGCTGAAGAAGCATTTGAAGCCCCATTGGAACGATGGGTGAGCATTCTGCTTTCCAAGGTGGCTGGTACAGCCTGGCAGAGCCCATTTCCGAGGCACACTGCAGGCCCCAGCCCCTTACTGGTTCCCCTCTCTGCCTCCTAGGGCCATTCTGGGCTTTGTCAATAAGCAGCAAGCGCACGACCTGCTCATCAACAAGCCGGATGGGACCTTCCTGCTGCGATTCAGTGACTCGGAGATCGGCGGCATCACCATTGCTTGGAAGTTTGACTCCCATGAGTTTGCTCTCTGGAGGTCGTGGAGCCAAATACGTCCCTGATGTAACTCCCGCCTCCAAGGTTGGAGAGGGGAGAGCTCCTGCCTGGATACAGAGCAAACCCTCTCACTGGGCTGGCTGAGCCTGCCCTGCTCTATTCCTGTGCATCAGCGCTGACTCTCCCGGGTTTGATCAGAGCAGAGCAAGCCCCCTTGTGGACATCAGGGCTTTGTACTGCCTACAGCTTTTCCTGTCTCTGTAAGGAGACACGTTGCTTAGGCCAGTATCACACCCAACGTGAAGCGGGTAAGGCTGTTCTGTCCGAACCAGGCTCCCTTTCTGCCATGCCCTGTACCCAGGATGCCTGTATATGAGCTCAAAATGAGCAGCATGTCTGCTTTTCTTTGTAGTCTAATATGGGTTGCTTGAATTGCAGCATTCTTCACCTTTACAGTGATTCTTTCCTCATGTCTTAACCCCAGGGTGGTTCATTGGGTATGCATTGGCCAATGCAATTTCTATGCCAGTAAGTCTCTTATGTGGTATTTTGTTCATGAGAACTGGGCTTCAAGCAGGTTTAAATTAACAGAAAAATGTACTTCTCTATGATTTTGGGTAGGGCTGATCCTGACTCAGGCAGGGGGTTGGACTAGATGACCTCCGAGGTCCCCCCCGCCCAGTCCTATTTCCCCATGATTCAAAGCAGTCTCTTTTTAGCATCACTAGTGCCGCTCCACAGTAAACCTGAAAGAACTTCAAGACGACTCCTCGTTCAGGAAGGACAAGGGCAGGCTGATCTCAGTTTCCTTTTTCATTAGTGCTGATGGTGCTGGCCTGTGACGGGGTGCATGTTGCAAGGGGAGGTTTAAAGTCAAAGAGAGAGAAGCTCTTTTCATTAAGCTGATACTCAGGAAGACATCCTTGAGACAGATATTCACAGCAGTTTCGAACTTGCCTCAGCACCAGCAGAGTGGCCAGCTCTTGCGATCTTTGTCCTGAGAGCCTGCCTTGTTTGGTGCTGTTTTTAAAGCCCCAGCTCCTGGAGTCAGTTGATGGCATAGGGGCCTCAGCATATGGTTACACAAGCCAGGAAGCTGGTAGCTCTTGGGGGAGTGGGGAAAAGCCTGCTGATGGGACTCAGGTGCCACGTAGAAGCTGAGAGAGCTGGGTGTGAAGGAGGACTGCCTCTTAATTGCCCTGTAGGAGTCTCTGAATTTTTAAGCCAGTCTCTCGAACCTGCCTCGCGTGGTTTGAGCACAGGAGACGAGTGAGAGCATCCTGAGCCCTTCAGATGCCCCGTGGCACAGAGGAAACTTGGGAGTTCTGGTTTTCACTGTCCTGTTTCCCTCCCATTGCATTTCCAGCTGAAAGGATGTTTTGGAACCTGATGCCCTTCACAACCAGAGACTTCTCCATCCGCTCACTGGCTGACCGCCTGGGTGACCTCAGTTACCTCATCTACGTGTTCCCTGACCGGCCCAAGGACGAGGTCTTCTCCAAGTACTACACGCCGGTTCCCTGTGAGTCCACGCCAGGTAGCTCTGTCCCCCGTGGTTCAGTTTGCTTCCCTCACATTCTTTGGGTATGCCGGCTTGTGTGTGAGACTCGAGGAAGCTATGTTGCTTTGCGCCTGCGGGGGTTGGGTTCATTCTTGCTCTCCTGTTTTTCTCAGTGGCTTCCTGCTGTGTGGCATGGAAATGCCCC